AGCTTTCTCATCAGCAGCGGGCCTGCCTGGCTTTGTGCTCTCCCAAAAGGTGAGGAGAGTGAAGGTCTAAGGAAGAACAAGAAAGTCCACCAGGAAACCTTGCTCACTCCACGCTTCCCCCAACTCAAGTTGAACTCCTAGGAGGTGAGGCAGGATGCTCCCATTCTGCTGCTTAGAACTTCTTCTTAGAACTTAGAAGAATTCCAATTCCCATTCTGCCGCTTAGAAGCTATGGGATCTTGGGCAAGTCACTTTACCTCTCTGAAGCTCAGCTTCCTCCTGTGAAATAAGAGAGCCTCTTGCAGGGTTTTTTGAGGCTTAGATTCAATAAGGAATGTGAGTGCATCTAACATCTATGTGGTGCTGGGTGTCTACATGCCTTTCTTTGTTTGTTCCCTTTTGAAGAAGCTTCTGACTTGACCTCATTTGGAAGATGACGTTATTGGAGAAGTGCACTCTGCTGTTCTCTTGGAAGAGGACAATAAAACGCATCTGCCACCCAGGCTGTGGTGGATCCATTGCAGCTTACTGCAGCCATTGCCACCCAGGCTCAAGTGACCCTCTGCCTCAGCCTAGCCTCCAGAGTAGCTGGAGCCACATATGTGTGCCACCACGCCTGGCTAACTTTCTGAAAAAATTTTTGTAGGGACAGGTGGTCTCACTATGTTGTCCAGGCTGGTCTGTTTTGTTTTCTTTTGTTTTGTTTCTCAAGATGGAGTTGTGCTCTGTTGCCCAGACTAGAGTACAGTGGTGTGATCTCAGCTCACTGCAACTTCCACCTCCAAGGTTCAAGAGATTCTCCTGCCTCAGCCTCCTGAATAGCTGGGAATACAGACATGCTGGACCACACCAGACTAATATTTGTATTTCTAGTAGAGACGGGGTTTCACCATGTTGGCCAGGCTGGTCTTGAACTCCTGACTTCAGGTGGTCTGCCCGCATCAGCCTCCCAAAGTTCTGGGATTATAGGAGTGAACCACTGGGCCTGGCCATCAAGTGCATTTTGATCCACCCGATGAAGCCCTCCTCTGCCAGCGTTCTGCTTCCCCCATCATTAGGGCAGCCGGATCCTAATTGTGCATGTCGGCCTCGCCTTCTCTGCTACGTGTGCACCTTCCCCACATTACACAAATCCTTACCGTAATGTTGTGAAACACGCTGGGCACAGGTTTCTCTCCCTGTTTCACAGATGGGTCTAGAG